CACCATGCATTTGTCAAAACCTGTAGAACTGCACAACACAGAGGGAACACTAATGTAACATGGAGTTAATAATAATAGATCAGTATTAGATCATAACGTAACAAACGTACGACACTGATGTAACATGTGAATAATAGGAGAAACTGTAGGGGGGAGCGGGGGTGCTGTGGAAACTACCTGTAGTTTCTGCTCAATTTCTCTGTAAACCTACAACTACTGCAAAAATTAAGTTAAAAATTTTTCTTTAAAAATTAAAAAATAAAATCTCTTACATCATTGTGAAAAAAATTTTTTTTAAATAAAATTAAAATTAAACCCTCAAAATATTACCTTTTAGATAGGGGACGGACAAGGGCGCCCTCTCCTGGTCAACTCTCAAAGGCACCCCTAGTCCATGCAGTGAGGTGAGAACATTGTCAGGATGGGCCTCAGAAGGCAGGAGACAGAACTGCCAGGGTGTGCAGGTAAAATGATTGGCATCGGCAAAATTTCTAGGCACACGATCACACCACATTCCTCTCCCTGCAGCAATAATTGTTGAGAAAAAGCAACTAAAAATAACATACCAGCAGCAACAGGGACTAAAATGACGCTCTAGGAGATGACCTAACAAAAGAAATAAGAACTTTCTGGAGAGAATTTTAAAACCCTATCAAAGGACATCTTAAAAATTGAGTAAGTAGGGACATAGGCCACGTTCATGGACGTGACAATCTAATATTGAAAAATGTCTGTTCTCCTGTAAATTGATCTCTACATTCAAAGCAAGTCCTACCAAAATCCCAGCATGTATTTTTGGAGAATTGATAAACTGATTCTAAAATAAAGATAAAGAAGAATAAATGTCTGAGAATAGCTAAGACAATCAGAAAAAGGAGAATCAAGAGGAAAGACTCGCCCCAACAGATGTTAAGACAGTTTCAATACCATAGTGATTAGAACAGTATGGAACTTGTGCAAAGACTGACAGTCAGATCAAGTGACTTGGAAGTGACAGTCCAGAAACAGACCCATGACCAAGAGAACTTCGTGTCATAGATGGAACATCAGCGCCACAAAGAAAAGATTAATGATTTGGTAAACGGTGACATAAAAATTGGCTTAATATAAGAAGATTTTAAAAATGTCAGGTCCCTATCCCATATCATATTCAAAAGTACTTTCAGCTGCAATTAAAAATTGAAAGATAAATGTGAAAAGATAAAACTATAAAGCTAATAGAAGAAAATATAAAATATAGTATATTTGTGATTTAAGGGTGAGGAAAATTTTAAAACAATACCATAAACCACAAAGGGTAAAATGGATGGAATCAGCTACATTCCAAAGAAAGACTTCTCTCAGGTGAAGAAAATCACAGACAAAAATATCAGATATATGGAAAAAAGCAAGAAAATACATGTGGAAATTCTATTGCTAAAAAACTCAACAAGAAAGCTCAGTGAAAAAGTACAAAGAAAAATACAGGGAAAAGATAAGAGCATGTAATTTTCAGGAGACTCCTGCTAATCTGCTAATGAAGTGCAATCAAAAGTTGCAAATCAAACAATGAGATATCCCTTTGCTCCTAACTCCCACAGATTAGCAAAAGTAAAGAGACAATATCAAGGAATGGCCAGGATGTGGGGACCCCTCATAGTCTGCTGGTGTGTGCCGCAGGAGTCCAGACATTCTGGAAGAAAACACAAACCCTAGTGAAATTAAATGTATGTATAACCTGTGATCAAAAACTGCACTCCTGGCACCTGCCCCAGAGAGACCATCCAAGGGTACAGAGGAAAGCATGTCTGAGGGTTTGCAGCAGCTTAGACGCCCTTCTTGAGAGAGCTCAGTAAGTGACATGCACACTGTCTATGATGGGACCCCAGGCAGCCCACCCAAGTTCTGATCCGATATACAGGAAGTGCCATTGACAGGCCCCCAAAACACGTACAGGGGGAGAGGAGGATGAAATGGGAACCCAAGTTCTGATCCGATATACAGGAAGTGCCATTGACAGGCCCCCAAAACACGTACAGGGTAGGGGGAGAGGAGGATGAAATGGGATTTGTGGAACATTATGTTTGCAAGTTTCTGAAAGGCGCAAACACAAAATATACATTTTATCAGATATACACATATGTAAATAAAAAACTAAAGAGGATGGATTGACAGGACACATTACATTCATGGGGAAGTGGTTGCCTTGTGGAGAGGGGAGAGGAACTTGCAGAGATGGACATTTAGAGAGCCAAGAGCTGATGTGTGCAGGCAACTCAGTATGGGTGTCTCAGGGAGCAAATTATCTCAGACACCACCACGCCCCGCCCCCAACACACACGCGCACGCACACACACACGTACATACACGCACACGCACACACACGCATGCACACACACACGTACACACACGTACACGTACACGCACACANCCCAAGTTCTGATCCGATATACAGGAAGTGCCATTGACAGGCCCCCAAAACACGTACAGGGGGAGAGGAGGATGAAATGGGATTGTGGAACATTATGTTTGCAAGTTTCTGAAAGGCGCAAACACAAAATATACATTTTATCAGATATACACATATGTAAATAAAAAACTAAAGAGGATGGATTGACAGGACACATTACATTCATGGGGAAGTGGTTGCCTTGTGGAGAGGGGAGAGGAACTTGCAGAGATGGACATTTAGAGAGCCAAGAGCTGATGTGTGCAGGCAACTCAGTATGGGTGTCTCAGGGAGCAAATTATCTCAGACACCACCACGCCCCGCCCCCAACACACACGCGCACGCACACACACACGTACATACACGCACACGCACACACACGCATGCACACACACACGTACACACACGTACACGTACACGCACACATGCGCGCGCGCACACACGTACACACACGCACGCACAGGCACACACGCACGCACACATGCACACGCACACGTACACACACGCATACACACGCGTACACACACACACATACACGCGCGCACGCACACACACACACAGAGTTAAATTGTGGTACAGTCCAACTGAAGACGAAGGCTTCATGCCCACCTATCAATCAGAAAATGCCACGTTCTTAATTACTGTTTAAATAACTCTACCCCGCTTTTTTGTTTTCACTGGATAAAAGATTTTAAACAACAATCATGGAATTTACTCAACAGTCAGGTTAATTTAATTGCATTTATTAAACTTAGCAATTCTTGGACTATGCCCAGGGTGAAGTCTAATATATTTATTGACTGGAAGATGAAAATTTAGCCAAACCCATAAAATTATTCAGACACAATTGTACTGCCGGGGATGGCCAAACTCAATGTCACTAGACATTATTTCTCTAAGTGGGAAAACAAGAGACTAATTAATGGGGGTTTTATTTACTACTTCATCACATTTTACAACCTTCAAATGAAATACTCACTGATTCAACTTTTAGAGATATTTGAGACAAATATTAAAAACCCTGGAGTCTGTATTTCCTTGTCCACCATGAATGTGTTTGGAAGAAAAACATTCTCAGTTTCTGTATTTATTTATTTATTATTATTATTGCACTTGTATTTATTTATTTTAAAGGACACAAAAGTCAAGGCCTGCAGCCTGGGACATGATAACTTTCCAAGTTTTAGAATTTGCATGGGGCCCTGTCTGTTGGATCCTGTTGCCAGCTCCAGCCTGAACACGTAAGTCCTCTGTTCCTGGGTTCTACTGGTGGCATGACCATTAGGACTGGGCAGGCTCATGTGGACACAGGAGGGAATGTGGTGGTCACCCAGTGCAGTGATTGAAGCGGACACTGTTTAAGGTAGGTGATAAGGACTGAATCACGTCCCCCAAGTTTTATGTATTAGAAGCTTGATCCCCCACTGTAACTGTTAAGAGTGTGGGAAATCCTATTATGGTCATTGATAGGTGGGGCCTTGAAGATTGTAAGGTGGGGCTTAGATTGTAAGGACCATGCCCTATTTCACGGGTGTGGTTCTGAGGGCTTTACAAGGAAAGCTCATGAGTTTCTCTCTCTCTCTCTGAACTGTCATTCTGCCATGTGAGACCCCTGCATCACTGTCACCACCACCAAGGCCTTCCCCAGATGTGTTCCCTGGACTTGGGACTTCCCAACCTCTGAAACTGTAAGCAATAAAATTTGTTTTCTTACAAATTACTAGTTCCAGGTATTTTGTTGTAAGCAACAGAAACACACACTAATACAGTAGGTATGTGCTCATGGAAGGTCCCCACACCTGGGTACTCACTGTGCCTTCTGGGTCCACCAGCAGCAGGTGCTTGGCCTGGCCGTTGTGCATGCCCGTGAGGACAAAGGAGCCCGGGTTGGTAGTGCTCTTCCTGACCAGGAAGTCTCCGTCTTTCTCCAGCAGCCCCTCTGCCTGCTTCCTGCTCATCTCTCCTTGGTACCAAGGCTCTGCCTCCAGCTCCTCCAGCATCTTGGCGTCCGGGGCTCTGGGTGCCACGGGGCTGAGGCACTCCACGGAGGCTGCCTTACTCAACACGGTCCCCAAAGGCTGGGTCTTGAGAGCATCTTCAAAAGGTTCTGTCAACAACCACATTTGCCAGCAACACATCAATCCCAGGAAGAGCAAATGACAACAGTACGGTGTGAGAGATGGAAATAAATGCAAAGACAATTCCTCCAGGAGAAAACAAAGAACCACAGAGAAATAACTAGCTCATCATAACAAGTGCTAAAATCACAGCCCACATTTTGGCATGACTCCTTCTGAGGAACCTGCTTTCCCAAGACAGCTGGGAGTTGCATGCACTTTGTGCCAGGGATTCAAGCACGCCCTATGTCTGAGTAGTTAGAATGGCTTCATTTTTGAACACTGCAAGAGGCCACACATATCATACGCCAGCTACTTTCTCTGGAACATCAGCCAGCCTCTTTAACAAATTCTGAATAAACACCTGCCATTACCAAAGGAAAAGACAAGTTACAAAGCTTTATTTTCATGCAGTACCTAAGCCCAACCTACCAAAGGTTTATTTCAAAATCTCTGCATCAGGCAAATTTTAAGAGAAGAAAACTGACATTAATGCTTGCTCCACGCTAGGAGCTCTCCCTCCCCTTGACCTTCACATGTTTCCCTGTGGGAAAAGGCTCTTTTCAGGAGTGCCCGAGACCACACTTGGCTTTGCACTGCAGAGCACCCTGGAGTGGTGAGATGGCTGCTCTGATAGCACCAAATACCAGCAGCAAAAAGAGGAGCCAGGCACATGTAATTAAATCTCAATGTCTGATTTTCAAATAAGGCAGTAGGTATAAAAGCACTCTGAAAAACACGCACAGTGCTGTGCAAGTATGAAGTGCTATGATGATTATTTAGGACGACACTGCCCACCCAGGACAACGCAAGCACACCAGAACAGGGATGGTTCTCTCCTGGGCACAACCACATCCCCAGAGCCCTGCGCTGTTCCTGGGACACAGCTCATCCTCTATAAATAGTCAATGAATGCTGTAAAATAAGCCTCGTTTGTTAAATGTCAGTGGGGGATGGACAGAAGTGAGGTGAATAAATGAAACCAAAATTGGGTCATTTTGACACTTGCTAAATCTTTTACAGATTTGGGGAGGAAAAATAGTTAAAACTACCAGCTAAAATTATGTTTGTGGATATTTTGTCCTATTTTTTTCCTGATTACCTGGAGTAGTTGAAAATTTGTACTATACTCTTTCTACACCATCACCACCATCACCACCATTGCCATCACCGTCAGTGTCACCATCATCACTGCCATCACCATCACCTCCACCATTATTTAGCTCTAGTGGTTCAAGATAAATAACACAGAGTGCTGGCTTTATTTATTTCCTCATTTTCCAATAGACACCAGCCCTTCTAAGGCCCTTCCTGCTTTGTGTCTCCTCTTCTCTGGTTTCAGGAGCAGCTGTAGAAATCAATTGATGGGAAAGGGTAGTTCCCATTTTTCCCATCTCAAACCCCAGCCCAATCTAACTCTCCTCAGGCTCTGGGGCCAGGTGTCACCAGTAAATTGACTAATTAAACAGTAAGAGTGGTCTGACCCTAAATAGAACTACTGAACTGAGGTACTGTCACAACTGGAGCAGTGGCTGGGAGAGCCACGACTTTGCTTGCATCTTGAGAAAGAGGCTTCACACTTCTTGGACTGTTTCCACCTTTTTGTAAATGAAGAGATTGGATTAGGTGATCTTTAAGGTGCATCCGAGCATTGAGATTCTACAGTCCTGCTAGCTCAGGTGATTTCTGTAGGTGGAAGTCCAGTGTGTCTGGGAAGCCAAATTGGCTGAGGAGGGATAGAGTGGTGTTGTCTGGCGCTGCCTAATAATAAAGGCACGTAGCACTGCCTCACTCACATCAAACACCACAAAGTGCACGGCTCTTTGAACCAGCACGGTGGCCTTTTACAAGTGGTAAAGTTCCTTAGCCTCTAGGATTCTTCGTGTCCTCCTCTGTATAATAGGGACAATAACAGTAAAATATCTACCTGTAGGGTCTTTGCAAAAATTAAATAAAACAATAAGTGCCTAGCACATGGTAGAAACTTATTCAGTGCTAGTCGCCTTTCTCTCCCTCTTCAGCCTGTAAAATTCTCAAGGAATCCAAATAGAAAATTTTATAATACAAAGCTCTTTGTGAGCTTGGGAAGTTCTTTCAAAATGCTTTAAAAATTTCCACTCTAACCACTTCATGAGTGACTTAGTTTTTCCAATCTATATGACAAACAGACAATCCATGGTA